AGGAAGTTGAGTGCCAGTTTGTGATTGACCACCTTGACTACCTTGACCAGGCTGAACTGAGGAATCCGTTGCAGTAGTACTTGTAGAAGGATCTGTTGATGAGCCAGGAAGTTGAGTGCCAGTTTGTGTTTGACCACCTTGACCAGGCTGAACTGAGGGATCCGTTGCAGTAGTACTTGAAGAAGGATCAGTGGATGAGACAGGAAGTTGAGTGCCAGTTTGTGATTGACCACCATGACTACCTTGACCAGGCTGAACTGAGGGATCCGTTGCAGGAGTACTTGTAGAAGGATCAGTTGATAAGCCAGGAAGTTGAGTGCCAGTTTGTGATTGACCACCTTGACCAGGCTGAACTGAGGGATCCGTTGCAGTAGTACTTGTAGAAGGATCTGTTGATGAGCCAGGAAGTTGAGTGCCAGTTTGTGTTTGACCACCTTGACCACCTTGACCAGGCTGAACTGAGGGATCCGTTGCAGTAGTACTTGTAGAAGGATCCGTTGATGAGCCAGGAAATTGAGTGCCAGTTTGTGGTTGACCACCTTGTCCAGGCTGAACTGAGGGATCCGTTGCAGTAGTACTTGTGGAAGGATCCGTTGATGAGCCAGGAAGCTGAGTGCCAGTTTGTGATTGACCACCTTGACTACCTTGTCCAGGTTGAACTGAGGGATCCGTTGCAGTAGTACTTGCAGAAGTATCCGTTGATGAGCCAGGAAGTTGAGTGCCAGTTTGTGATTGACCACCTTGACTAGCTTGTACTGAGGGATCCGTTGCAGTAGTACTTGTAGAAGGATCCATTGATGAGCCAGGTAGTTGAGCGCCAGTTTGTGTTTGACCACTTTGACCACACTGTCCAGGCTGAACTGAGGGATCCGTTGCTGTGGATGGATCCGTTGATAAGCAAGGAAGTTGAGTGCCAGTTTGTAATTGACCACCCTGACCACCTTGTCCAGGCTGAACTGAGGGATCCGCTGCGGAAGTACTTGTAGAAGGATCCGTTGATAAGCATGGAAGTTGAGTGCCAGTTTGTGATTGACCACCTTGACCAACTTGACTAGGCTGAACTGAGGGATGCGTTGCTGTGGATGGATCCGTTGATAAGCCAGGAAGTGTAGTGCCATTTTGTGACTGACCACCTTGACCACCTTGTCCAGGTTGAACTGAAGGATCCGTTGCAGTAGTACTTGTAGAAGGATCAGTTGATGAGCCAGGAAGTTGAGTGCCAGTCTGTGTTTGACCACCATTACTACCTTGACCAGGCTGAACTGAGGGATCCGTTGCAGTAGTACTTGTAGAAGGATCCGTTGGTGAGCCAGGAAGTTGAGTGCCAGTTTGTGATTGACCACCTTGACTACCTTGACCAGGCTGAACTGAGGGATCCGTTGCAGTAGTACTTGTAGAAGGATCAGTTGATGAGCCAGGAAGTTGAGTGCCAGTTTGTGATTGACCACCTTGACTACCTTGACCAGGCTGAACTGAGGGATCCGTTGCAGTAGTACTTGTGGAAGGATCTGTTGATGGGCTAGGAAGTGTGGTGCCAGTTTGTGAATGACCACCTTGACTACCTTGACCAGGCTGAACTGAGGGATCCGTTGCAGTAGTACTTGTAGAAGGATCCGTTGATGAGCCAG